TGATCTTTGGTGGTGGTAAGGCTGGGGTTTCTGAATGGAGGCAGCACGGCTGGAGTAGAGTTGGCTGGCCGCGGGTAAACATATTAGTTTTGACCGTTTCCGGGCGTTCAGATCTGGTTTGAGCTTGGTTAAAAACAAAAACCCTAGTTTCATGGACTAGAGCACCCAAATTTGGGAGAATACAGGCAAGGGTTAACTTCAATACGAAAAGGAGGAGGACCCGCCCTTAGCCGGGTGGTCCGACTGGTTGAAGATATTATATATTGAACAATTCCCGGTTATGATGAATTTTCCTAGACAGACTCGTTGAAATACCAAACCTGACAAACCTGACAAACGTTCTCAAATCTAGCTGTCTGCTATCAGATTTGTACGCGTATTAGATACTTTCAGCTCAGATGTCTTTGTGCTGTGATAGGTCAGCAGTGTTTTGATGAAGTGCAAGGTAACGCATACACCAATCGTTATGGTTAATCCAATTTTCTACAGAGGGTCTTAATCACCGGTTGAGATTTCATAGCGGCGATAACATCTACCATATATAATTCGCTAAGTTTGTCTGTTGATTTGCCTGTTGGTCTGTTTGCTTGGGCGTGTGTGTGTCGGTGTGTGGTATGACCGGGAATTCATAACTCCTGCTCACGTGGACAAAGAATGCTCAAATTTGGTAGGATTACGGATGGCAGGATGGGAACACTCATGGCAGGTAGCAGGATCACACTCCGCCTACAGGGGCGGGGCGTGCGTGACAGGAACTTATGACCGCAAATTCACATCTAACGTCCCAGTGGACCTAGAGCGTTGAAATTCAGTAGGAGTACAGGCGGCAGGGTAGGACCACCTATCGAGGGTGGAAGACCGAACTTCGGCTATAGGGGGCGGGGCGTACGCGATAGAAACTTCATGCCGCAAACTCCTGTTAACGTTTACTTTGAGCGTTTAAACTTGGTAGGAGTACAGGCGAAAGGATGTGGGCTCTTATAGTGGGAGGCAGGCCGAATTCTGCTCACAGACGATCGGGGTTTGCGCGAAATAAATGGTTGAGCGGATATTCATCTTTCCGTGGGGCCAAAGATTCAAATTTGGTAGAATTACAGCTTTTCCTATTATTAGTGGAACTTGAGCATTTTAATAAGTGATGTAGTATATGAGGCTTTCGTAAGTACTCGGTCCCTGGAACTGATAATAACTGATAACAGAAGATGAGGAATCTAGGAGATCAAGAACCACCTACCGATCAAAATACCGATTTTTCTGTATTTACGATGTTGCTTTGACCGTTCAGTATGTTTCATTCGATAAGANGGTGCTGTTCCGAATCTAACTAAAATCATTAACAGTTCGCCATCAAGTCGTTCCATTTTGTTTGCTGAAAAAAAATTCCGACTTTCCCCTTATGCTGAATGAACTTGCGTAAAAACAGTGATGCTGTCAGGAACTTTTGATATGTATAATCGTGTGGATCACATAATTCTGAAACATGCCAGAGTTTCAAACAAACATTTGTGAGCACTGCCCATGGCTTTGGTTGCCTAACAGTCGAGACTCTAATGGGTATTCACTTTTGAGAACGAGGACAAAAGATCGAGACTCCCAATCAAAGGCATAAGCACCGACCTACACTGAATACCATTTGCAATTCCCTGTCAGTCCTGCGTCAAACTCCAGCAGGAAAATATTAGTTGTTTCAAAGAAAGTGTAGACTTAACCGATTACTGCAACTTTGCCGGAGATGGCAAGCCCGGCGTTAGCCGGGCGAACCGACTGGCTCATTATAATCAAGAAATTAATCGCAAAGTTACTTCCAATGGAGGTGGTGTAGTGGCAACTGGCGCACTACCTAACACTCAAGGTCAAGCGATCGAATCCCGGATCAGTACCTGCATGGTCCAACCAAGCCTTTCATCTCTCTATGATATCTTAGTTGATACCAGACCCTTTGGGAGGATCAAATCACTGATTTATAGTACATCGGCAGGGCACCGCATGTTATTGTACAGGCCACTACGATCCTGGATGGAAGTCGAATACGTGGACGCATACCTCAGAGGGATTGATTGGCGCTCCAAGACTTTATATTATACCCTTCAAGCTAATAAAGGGGCAGAATTAAGCATATTGGGTAACGTTTTTTGTCAACCCCGTTTTGGAACCCGGAGACCTGAACACTGTCTGTTTGAAACTCTGGTAGTGTTTCAGAATTATGTGATCCACACGATTGTGCATATCAAAAGTTCCTGACAGCATCACTGTTTTTACGCAAGTTTATTCAGCATAAGGGGAAAGTCGGAATTTTTTTTCAGCAAACAAAATGGAACGACTTAAAGGCGAACTGTTAATGATTTTAGTTAGATTCGGAACAGATGCGTGAACTGATCACTTTTTCAAAGTCAACAGGAATCATCAGTTAGACCCCGTGCTTTGACAGTTATCTACAAATAGGTAGAACAATTCATGAAAATCGCAAAAAGGCATAAAATCACAAGGTGCTACTTGTCCCTTAGCTATTTGCAACAGTCATGACTTGACATTTGCGAGGCAATGAAGGCAATAAGTTGTTGAGATTTGAGATCGGAATAGAGTTCCAGGCTTACTCAAGCTATAAGTATTTCCCATCCGTAGTTCTGACAACTCGACCTTCCATGGTCCGTCAAAGTTCTTCACTCAAGTGTTTGGTTGGATTAATACAGGGGATTGGATCGACTACTTCATCTTTGGCGCTCTCCTTTTGGAGCAATACAACGGTTTCTAACATGGCTATACAACACTCTTTACTGATAGGTTTTTCAAATCTATACTAAGGGCTCCCATCGCCCTATTGAAAATTCCTCCACAGTTCACGTTACCTTCCCAAAATTTAAATGTCAAAAGTTGTTACCTGCCTAACACGATCACCCCTATGTAGTGCGTATGCCTTTCTTTAGGAACGTTTGTATCTGCAACCACCAATAAAAACTTGTTTTCATTCCTAAGCATTTGCATCGTCCCGAGTTGTCTTCTGAACATATTCCTCTGCCAATCTCGAAGAAACCTTCAGATTCATTCTCTAATCCGATAAATCTTAATGGGGATCCCCGATGAGTCCTACTCCTGCAGCTGCACTACACATCACACCATTTATCCCCTCCCCACCCCCCCCC